CGTCGCGCCGAGCGCACGGCGGCCGCCTCGTCGCGCAAAGCGCGCGGCTGGGGCAGGCAGAGAGGCGGGCCTCCAGAGCGCGATGAAGATGTAGGAGTTCAGCGCCGTGTAGAACTCCCCGCCCAGCCTCGGCGAGGGCCGCGGCTTCTCTCTCTCTCTCTCTCTTTCTCTCTAAGGGCCGAGCCGATGGGGCGCGCCTGGGCCACACACGGAGCACAGCAGAGGCGTGCGAGCAGAAAGAGCTGGAAACAGGAGCGGGAGGGTTCCCTGCTCGCTCCACCCACATCCTCCTCCTCCTCCTCCTCCTCCTCCTCCTCCTCCTTCTCCGCCTCCTCATCCTCCTCCGCCTTTTCCTCCTCCTCCTCCTCCTCCTCCTCCGCCTTTTCCTCCTCCTCCTCCTCCTCCTCCTCCTCCTCCTCCTCCTCCTCCTCCTCCTCCTCCTCCTCCCCCAGCAGAGGCGTGCGAGCAGAAATCCTGCCGCCTGGGGGGCGCAGGCTTCTTCGGTCCTTGCGCCTTGCGGGTCCCGTGGGCGGGCCCCAGAGCTCTTGCATGACCCCGGGGCCATCAGGGGAGGAGGGATTTCCGTGGACACCTGCTGGCAGGGAGGTCTCTTATTTGACATGCATACTGCAACAGGAGGAGGAGGTGGATGAGCAGGAGGAGGAGGAGGAAGAGGAGGAGGAGGACGGGGAGGATGAGGATGGGGAGGAGGAGGAGGAGGAGGAGGAGGAGGAGGAGGAGGAGGGACAAATAATCGGAAAAACCAAAAAAGGAGGAGGAGGAGGACGAGGAGAAGGAAGCTGCGCGCCAGAGCGGGCAGGATCCAAGGGGGCATCCCTCTGGCGTCATGGCCGCCGCGCGAGAGGCGCACAACGAACGAGGGCGAGGAGGCGCACCGCAGGACTCGCTCCCGCGCGCGCGCGTGCGCCGTGGCGTTCGCGCGCTTCGGCGGGGCTGCTCGGGCCTACAGAACCCTGCCAGACTCAGCGTCGTGCCTGGACGAGGTCGTCGTCCTCCTCTCGACTACACGCAAGAGTGACCCTGGGAAAGAGTGACCTTTGCTGCGCGGCTTAACGGGGAACGCGGGGTGGCCAAACCCAGGCGCGCAAGCCGCTGCTGTCGCATTGCGTTCGGCGATCGGGGGACCACAGTGGGCCCGCACGAAGGGTCACTCCGTCGAAGGGTCACTCTTGCGTGTAGCCGATCCTCCCGCTCCTGTCGTGTGCTCCCTCGTCCGCTGGGCCTTTGGTGGGCCTGCGCTTTCGGGCCGGGCGGGGCGCGCTGGGCAGGCGGGGCGGCGCGCCCGCCGCGATGGGCGGGGCGCCCGCCGCTGTCCAGTCACCTCCGCCAGCGGGGGCGTTTGTCTTCGGCATGCCGCTGCAGGCACTCAACCTCCGAGATCTGAGGAGAATGAGGAGGAGTCAGAAGGAGGAGGAGGAGAAGGAGGAGGAGGAGAAGGAGGAGGAGACGAGCGTAAGAGAGGAGGAGGAGAAGGAGGAGGAGGAGGAGGAGGAGGAGGAGGAGGAGGAGGAGGAGGAGAGAAGGAATGATGAGCAGGAGGGGGAGGAGGGAGGAGGAGAGGAGAGAAGGAGGTAGGGAGGAGGAGGAGGAAGGAGGAGGAGGAGGAGGAGGGGAGGAGGAGAAGAATGGAAGATGAAGAGGAGGAGGAGAGGAGGCAGGAGGAGGAGGAGGAGGAGGAGGAGGAGAGGAGGAGGATGGAGGAGGAAGAGGACAGAGGAGTAGGAAGGAGGAGGAACGAGGAAGAGGAAGGAGGTCCTCCTCTCCCCTCTCCGACACCAAAGCCCCAGGGAAAAGAGAATGGAAAGGTGCCCGGCCTGGGTCCTTCACACGAGAGGGGGACATGGGCCCAGCCTGGCAAGGAGGGGGCGCAAAAGAAGGGGGAGGGGAGCAACGGGGAGGAAGGGAGGAGGAGGGGGAAGAGGGGGGGGAAGGGGCAGGCTAGGTGCGCTCGTGACAGACTTGGCATCCAAACCCGTCCCACTGCGCTGGTGATGCCTCTATCCGCCGACGGGTGCCATAGCGGACCTGGAACCCCCGAAATAACCTCATCGTGCCATGTGCAATCAGAGCATGGGAACTGTGCGCATCGGAAGAAATGGAGGTGGTGGTGAAGGAGCGGGGGAATGGACAGGAGGAAGTGGATGGGGAGGAGGAGGAGGAGGAGGAGGAGGAGGAGGAGGAGGAGGAGGAGGAGGAGGAGGAGGAAGAGAAGAAGGAGGAGGAGGAGCAGTTGCAGCAGAACCAGCAGCAGCAGCAGCAGCAGCAGCAGCGGCAGGAGGAACGAAAGGAACGGAAGAAGCAGGGGGAAGATGGAGGAGGGTAAAGGAGGGGAGCGACAACTCAAGAGCCCCCAGAAGCCTCTCTAGCCGCCCCCACGAGGCCCAAAGAGCCCTCCAAGAGGCCCCCAAGAGGCCCTCAAGAGGCACCAAGGCCGCATGATGCATATTCAAAGGCTCGGAAGGGCATCCCAAGAGACTCCAGCCTACCTCGAAGATGTCCTCGCCCTGCCGATGCTTTCTTTTAGGGGTCGGCGGAATGGCGTAAGCCTCTTTTGAATACCCAAGAGGGAATGGATGAGGATAAAAAGAGAGGAGCGCGCTGGCCGAGACAAGAGACGAGGCAGGCGGCCAAGAGCAAGAGACGGGAAGAGGGCAAGGAAACCTCCCCTCGCGCGCGCGCGGCGGGGCGGGGCGGGTCGCGACTCCGAGTCGGAGGAGGGGGAGCAGCAGCAGCACCAGCGGAAGGAGCAGAAGGAGCGGGAGAAGCAGGGGGAGGGCGGAGAAGGGGAACGGAGGGGAGCGAGCGGTCCGTCCTTGGATGAGAACAACCAGCCTCGAACTGATCCAGATCCCTCAACTTGACTGGCTGAAAGGCAATGACAGACTTAGAGCACTCCCTGAGAACCACAGGTAATCATTACGATTGGCATCGGGATGGGGCGATGCCAATCGTAGGGGGCAGGGGCTTGTTCCATGCTGGCCAGAGAGCGCCGTTCTGAACGACTGAAGGAAACCGCCGGTCCTGAAATGAGGCTACCGCTGCAGCGGGAGCACCACGATAAGACATCATACACGCTCGAGCGGAAAAGAAACAGAACAGCATCATTGTTTGAGAACCTTACGCGTAGAAAACTAACAAAACCAGTATGCGGGAGAAAAAGGGCCAGCTCGGACAGAATCCGGGGAGAGAGGAGGGTCGAATCCACATTGAATAATTGTAGAAGGAGGAGGTGGAGGAGGGAGAGAGGAGGGGGGAGCAGGAGAAGAAAGAGATGAGCGATCACCCGAGCCCCTCCACGGGAACGATTGCGGACCGAAGATTGGCAACAGTGGGTCCCAGCAGCCCACCGGCCGAAACCCGAATCAAAGGCAGCAGCGTGGAATGGGGACTCCCCGCTGCAAAGTCCTGGCGGAGAACGGCGGGGAATGCCCGGAAGCCGCGAGCAGGACCACCTCCACGCCCAAATCCTCCTACACATTCTGCTCCTCCAACTCCTTCACCTTCCTCCTCGTCCTCATCCTTCCCAGTTTGCTGATGGCGTGCTGCCACCGCCTCCTGCGCCCCCCGCCTCCACTGCGTCTTCCTCCTCGTCGGCTTCCTCCTCCTCCTCCTCCTCCTC